AGCTACTCGGGAGGCTGAGGCAGGAGAATTGCTTGAATCTGGGAGGCAGAGGTTACGGTGAACCAAGATCGTGCCATTGCACTCCAGCCTGGCAAGAGCGAAACTGTGCTTCAAAAAATAAATAAATAAATAAATAAAGGAACAAATGAGATGAAGGAGAAAATCTAGCAGGGGCTGGGCACATGGTTGCCAAACAGTGTGCATTTAGGGAAAGAAGGAAGCTGGAGGGGCTGTCTTTGGCTTAGTCTCTGGGTCATCTTCTTTCTGGGCTGGTGAAACTCAGGTCACTAGTCAGTAGCGGGTAGGGATGTTACCAGAGAGTTAAACTCTGACCTTGGGTTTGAAATGGTAGGTAGAGGACAGAAGGGCAAAAGCATTGGTTCCAGCAAGGGGGACTCAAGCCAGATGTGAAGAAGGACTGGCTGGCAAGGATTAGAGATTCCAGATGACCCTTACCTCTGGACTGGGCCTGAGTGCCCCTGTGAGTCCAGCCAGGTGCTGGTACCACTGTGGAGTGCAGAGGAGATAAGAAGGGGTACAGACTCAGCATACTCCAGGATACATTGGGGATTGGGCAGAGGTGGGCCCCCATGAAATGAGCAACAAAGGAGAGAGCAGAAGCAGGGCTGAGCTGTGGGGCTCAGCCTCAGAGGACTAGGAGCTTGAGGGGGCAGTCAGGGAGGACTTTTTGGAGGAGGTGGCCTGGAGCCACCTGAAGATGGGAGGATGTGGTTTACTCACTCACTGTCATCAGATAATTTCGGGGGCTCCCTGTTTGCCAGGCCAGTGCCAGTGGTGATGTGGAGGAAGTCGTGGACGGGGCCAGCCCAGCCTGGCTGGGGGTTGAGGTATGTCACTGACAACTTGAGCAAGTCACTTCCTCCCTGTGGGTGTTTGTTTCTTCATCTGTAAACGTCAGAGCTGGATGAACTTGAATGACGGACAAAGGAGTGCTCAAGGGCACTGGGAACCATGGAAAGGCTTTGAGCAGGGGTGGGACTGTAGTTGGCACAGTGGGGAGAAGATGATGAAGTACTCAGTGATGTGTCATAGTGGCTGAGGGGCTTAAACCTCTGAGGGGCTTGGATTAGGGTAGAACAAGTGAGGCACTTGCCTCTGTTGCAAAATTTGAGGGGGTGCCAAAAATCTCAGTAATTAGCTGGGTTTGGTCACGAGATCCTGTGTTTCCCGCTATTTGGGAGGGGGAGGTGGGAGGATCACTTGAACCCAGCAGATCGAGGCTGCAGTGAGCCGTGATCGTGCCACTGCACTCCAGCCTGGGCAATAGAGCGAGACCCTGTCAAAAGAAACAAAAATAAAATTTAAAAGCAATAACCATTTTAAAAAAGGTTAGTAATCAAGGTATATAATATTTAATGCCATTTAAAAAATAAAAATTAATGCAAAAAATCCATGATGAGGAAAACACAAAACATCAATGTCTTAAATAAATAGAGGACCAGTATTGATGATTCTGTCTTTGCCTCAGGCTGCAGTGTGGCTTAGCAGAACACTGCTCTAAACTTCTTTTTTCAATTTGCTGCTTTCTCTAGGAAGCCTTCCCTGCCCCAGCCTGGTTGAGGGCCCCCTGGACTGTTTTTGCTGGCCGATAGTATCTGATCCATTCCAGCCTGAAGTTCCTGAAAGGCCAGTCCAGGTCTCAGGTCTGGTTCATGCTTCCAGTGCCTTGAACAGGACTGTCCCAAAGGGGTGTCAGTGCTGAGTCTCCATGTCTTTGATCTTAGCCAGATGCCCTTAGTGCAGGAATAGGAGGGAGCCAGGCTTTCCTCAGGGAGCGAAGTAGTTTCCTGTTTTCCAGATCGTGTCATTCCAGTGGGGTGGTTGGGACCATCATCTGTCAATCTGTGTTAAATCCTTAGCACAGTGCCTGGCCTGTAGATAGCAGATGCTCAGTTTTTTTTTTTTGTTGTTGTTGTTGTTTGTTTGTTTGTTTGGAGCCGGACTCTCACTCCGTTGCCCAGGCTGGAGTGCAGTGGCGCCAGCTCGGCTCACTGCAGCCTCTGCCTTTCAGGTTCAAGCAATTCTCCTGCCTCAGCCTCCCGAGTAGCTGGAATTACAGGCACCAGCCACTATGCCCAGCTAATTTTTTATATTTTTAGTAGAGACAGGGTTTCACCATGTTGGTCAGGCTGGTCTCGAACTCCTGACCTCAAGTGATCCACTTGCCTCGGCCTCCCAAAGTGCTGGGATTACAGGCATGAACCACCACACCTGGCCCTCAGTTTGTGTTTTGAGAGGCCATGCAGAGTGGTTAAGAGTTGATGGCCAGGCTGGTGGCTCATGCCTATAATCTCAGCACTTTGGGAGACCGAGGTATGCAGATCGCTTGAACCCAGGAGCTTGAGACCAGCCTGGGCAGCATGGTAAAACCCCATCTCTACGAACAGATGGAAAAATTAGCTGGGTGTAGTGGCAAGAGCCTGTAGTCCCAGCTACTTGGCAGGCTGAGGTGGGAGAATTGCTTGGGCCCCAGAGGCAGAGGTTGCGTTGAGCAGAGATTTTACCACTGCACTCCAGCCTGGATGACAAAGTGAGACCCTGTCTAAAAAAAAAAAAAAACTGTTGACAGCTACAGTCTCCAGTATGAATAGAGTGTGAACCACAATGCAATGTAAACTGTCCGAGTGAAATTAATGTTAATATTTCATCATGTAAACAATAGGGAAAATTATTGAGATTTTTGCATTCTTGTGTGTGTGTGCGCTAAATCTTCAAAATCCAGTGTGTTTAAAATGTAGCACATCATATTCCAGGGACCACATTTTAAATGTCCAACAGCTGTCTGTGGCTATTGCTGGCTGCTATTGGACAGCATAGGGCTAGACTGTAGTCATCCTGCTCCTTCCTGGGTATGTGGTTAAAGTTATTTAACCTCCCTTTTTATCAGTGTCTTCATCTTAAAACAGGCATAGCAATCACATGTACCTCCTAGGGCTGCTGTGAGGCTTTGATGAGTTAATATAAAGTGCCTGGATACCTGGCATGCAGTAAGCACTGTCGATGTGGTCTCCTCTTGTTTTAAATTGCTGCTTGAGTAGCACTGCCATTTTTGCCAATACTTTCATCTGAAATTCCAGTTACTTAAAGGTTGTTTTTTAAATACTTACTTTTGGGCTGGGTGGTTTATGCCTATAACCTTAGCACTTTGGGAGGTCAAAGTGGGAGGATTGCTTGAGGCCAGGAGTTTGAGGCCAGCCTGGGCAACATAATGAGACCCTGTCTTTACAAAAAATAACAAAATTAGCTGGGCACAGTGGCGTGTACCTGTAGTTCCAGCTACTCGGGAGGCTGAAGCAGGAAGATTGCTTGAACCTAGGAGTTGGAGGTTGCAGTAAGCTGTGATTGCACCACTACACTCCAGCCTGGGCAACACAGCAAGACCCTATTTCAAAAATAAAATAATGCTGGGCACAGTGGCTCACACCTGTAATCCTAGCACTTGGGGTGGCTGAGGCAGGTGGATCACCTGAGGTCAGGAGTTTGAGACCAGCCTGGGCAACGTGGCAAAACTGTGTCTCTACTGAAAATACAAAAATTAGCCAGGCATGGTGGTGCGCACCTGTAGTCCCAGCTACTCAGGAGGCTGAGGCAGGAGAATTGGCGCTTGAACCCAGGAGGTGGAGGTTGCGGTAAGCCGAGATCGTGCTACTGCACTTCAGCTGGAGCTACAGAGTGAGACTCTGGCTCAAAATAAATAGATAAAATATAAAAAAAAAAAAATATATATATATATATAGATATATATGTATTAATCTGTTTTAATCCTATCCTAGGCAGTGACAATCATAAAGTTTACTTATGATAAATATCTGTTTATGTGTTTGTAAGATGTAAAATGTTCATGAATACCTGCTGAAGCCATTATGCAGAGCACAGCAGTTTTCAAGTTAACCCTAGCGTTGGCGGACCTGACTGCTCTAGGCCCTGGGAATGGGGACCTGTCCATGCCACCCCACTGGTCCCTAGCCCCACAGAGCCCTGGCCATCTGCATAGCAAGGGTGGTGGCCTGTCTAGGGCTATCCTGTTTGTTCTCCTCCTGCCTGGAGCATCCTGTTTTGGTCTGTTTTCCTCAGCCTCCCCTACATATTTAGGGGCAGGGCCCCGGGGTCTCATGCCCCTGACTCAGTTACCCCACTTGTGCCCTCAGCCCACTCCATGGTCCCCAGAGTTAGTGGAGAGGGTCCTGTGTCCCTGTGTCCTCTAAGGTCCCCCACCTCTCCTGGCAGGCTCTGTGTCAGGGAGACCTCTTTGGTCATGGGGCTGCATCGTCCCTTCCTCACCCTTCTGGGGCTGTCCCTTCCACAGCCTGCCCCTATCCACATCCCAGCACTGGTCTTATGGAGCCAGAGAGTGGGGAAGTCTTGACTCATCTTTACCACCTGTGCAGCCTCCACACACAGACAGGCCTGTCTGTCTGCCTTCTTCTCCCTTCAGGAAGACCTTCCTCTGGTCTGACCTGTTGCCAGCTTCCATGAGCATGAGGTTCCCTGACTCCCTTCCTCTTCCCTCTTCCTTCTCTTCCTCTTCCTCCACCTCTTCCCTACCTCTTCTTCTTCTTCTTCTTTTTTTTTTTTTTTTTTTTTTTTTGAGACAGGATCTGGCTCTGTCACCCAGGCTGGAGTGCAGTGGCTCAATCACAGCTCACTGCAGCCTCCACCTCCTGGGCTCAAGTGATTCTCCTACCTCAGCCTCCTGAGTTACTCGGACTACAGGCAGACACTACCATACCTGGCTAATTTTTATATTTTTTGTACAGATGAGGCCTCCTTATGTTGCCCAGGCTAGTCTTGAACTCCTAGACTCAAGGAATCCACCTGCCTCAGCTTCCTAAAGTGCTGGGATTACAGGCTTGTGCTGCTGTGCCTGGCCCCCATCTCTTCCTTTTCCCTGTCTCTTTCCCTCTTCCCCTCTCCTTCTCCTTTGGCATCTCAAAGTGACCTTGCTTTATGGGCTTTCTCCTCCATCCCTGTCCTTGCAGCTCCCGCCCTGGACCGAAATGAGGAGCCCTTCAGAATAGCTGCTGTCTCTGGGAGGACCCGGGTGTCCTTGGCAGCCCAGCTGGTGAGTCAGGAGGTAGAGGGGTGGGAACAGGGCTGGCTGTGGCAGGCTAGACCTTAACACTGAGGTGGGGAGAGGGTTGATGGAGGCTGACGTCTGATAGCCCATTTTCCATTTTGAGAACTGAACTTGAGAGGCAGAGGGTGAGGCCCAGAGAGCTTGCTAAGAGCCTCCCAGCAGGCCTTGGAACCTTGGAACGGGCAGGGGTATGGGACAAAGGGACAGGGCAGGGGCCAGCAGGCTGGGTTGCGGGTCGGGGTGTATGTGTCTCCTCATTGGAGTCCCCTCCTTGCCTGGCAATTTCGTTATCTTTCTCATTCTCAGGCTCTATTCGTGATTATCACATTCTCTTTTAATTTTTATTTACTTTTTGGAAAATGATACAAAATTAAAAAGATACAGAAGGGTATAGTGTCTCTTGCCTTCCAAGCTGTCAATTCCCCTCCCCAAACACAGTTTCATATGTATCCGTCCAGTTTGCTGTATTTATATTTGCATATATATACTATATATATAGTTTTTCTTTAACCCAGATATTTACGTAACACTGTTCTCCATCTTGCTTTTCCACTTAACACATCTTTAATATCATTTTATGTGAAGTTTAGAATCTGCTGGTCTCAACAACTTCCAGTTGGTAATTTTAGTTGGGATGGTGTTAAAGTTTTAGCTTAGCCCCAGAGGAACTATCATCTGTATAATGTTGAAGTGAAAAGCCTCCAGCCGGGCGTGGTGGCTCATGCCTGTAATCCCAGCACTTTGGGAGGCTGAGGCAGGCGGATCACGAGGCCGGGAGTTTGAGACCAGCCTGGCCAACATAGTGAAACCCCCTTCTCTACTAACAAAATACAGAAAATTAGCTAGGTGTGGTAGCAGGCACCTGTAATCCAGGCTACTCAGGAGGCTGAATTGCTTGAACCCGGGAGGTGGTGGTTGCAGTGAACCGAGACTGCGCCACTGCACTACAGCCTGGGTGACAATGTGAGACTCCATCTCCAAACAAAAAAAAAAAAAAAAAAAAAAAGAAAAGTCTCCCTTTCCCCAGAGGTGGATTTTCAGAGAAGCTGGAGTTTGATGTGCAGGGCTCCTTCCAGGATCTAAAGAGGGGCCCGAACAGTGTGTGCATGTGGTCATGTGTTTTTGTGATTTTTGTAAAAGTGATACCCTTAAGGAGCATGTGTTGGTTAGTCCCTTTTGCATTGCAATCAAGGAATACCCTGAATAATTTATAAAGAAAAGAGGTTTATTTGGCTCAGGGCTCTGTAGGCTATACAAGCATGGCACCAGCATCTGCTCAGCTTCTGGTGAGGCCTCAGGAAGCTTTTAGTCAGGGTGGAAGGTGAAGGAGGAGGAGACACATCACATGGTGAGAGGGGGAGCAAGAGAGAAGCCAGGCTCTTTTAACTAGCTAGCTCTATGTGAGCAAAGAGTGAGAACTCATTTGTTACTGTGGGGAGGGCACCAGGCTATTCATAAGGGATCTATCCCTGTGACCCCAACACCTCCCAGTAGGTCCACCTCCAACATTAGGGGTCACATTTCAACGAGATTTGGAGAGGACAAACACCCAAACCATATCAGAAGGCACCTAAATTGTGTAAGCTTCAGGCCCCATAAACTTCAGGCCCTTATGAACTCTGGATCTTCCTTCCCTTCCCTCCTGTCCCTTCAGTCCTTAGTTTTCTTCCTGGGAGGAAGCTGGTAACTGTCACCTTACCCCTGTGTGTCTTTTCAGAGATACTTTGTTCATTTACCAGTAGCTGCACACTGCTCCATGTTCTCCCTTGTTTTTTTTTTCACAAAGAGAGAATGTTACACAAACTGTTCTGTATTTTCATTACTCATTTAACAGTGTATCTTGTAGGTCATCCCATTCCGGTATGTAAGGAGTTTCCTCATTCTTATAGCCATTCAGTATTCTATTACAAACTACACCGTAATTTAGTTAACCATTCTCCCACTGATAGAGTATTCTATTGTATGACTATACCATAATTTAGTTAATCATTCTGGACATTTTGTTTATTTCCATTCTTTTGCTATGAAACACAGGCGCTGCAGCCAGTAACCTATATAGGTCAATTCTGGCAGGTGCCAGTAAAAGTGCAGGCTAAATGCCTACAGGTAGCTGGGTCAGCCATCTGCATCTCTTTTTTCTTTTCTTTTCTTTTTTTTTTTTTTTTTTTGAGATGGAGCCTCTCTCTGTCGTCCAGGCTGGAGTGCAATGGTGCTATCTGGGCTCACTACAACCTCCACCTCCTGGGTTCAACTGATTCTCCTGCCTCAGGCTTTCAAGTAGCTGGGATTACAGGTGCCTGCCACCATACCTGGCTAACTTTTTGTATTTTTAGTAAAGATGGAGTTTCACCATGTTGGCCAGTCTGGTCTCGAACTCTTGGCCTCAGGTGATCCACCCACCTTGGCCTCCCAAAGTGCTGGTATTACAGGCATGAGCCATCGCGCCCAGCCCAGACATGTGCATCTCTTAGGGCTTTCATGCCTAGAGGTATTCCATGGCCAGGGAAGGGATGCCTCACTGCATTACCAATGCTTGTATTTTCCAACTTTATTGCTCTTTGACAGTCTGATAGGTGGAAAGCAGTATTTCAGAATATTTTACATTTGTATTTCCTAGTATGGGGGAGGTTAAGTTCCTTTCAGATATTTAAGAGCCATTTATATTTTCCTTTCTGTAAATTTTTTCATTCATACTCCTTGCCCATATTTCTGTTAGATTATTGACTTGTTTCTTATTTCTGCATGCTTTTCAATTATTAGGAAAATGAGCCCTTTGTTTGGAATATGAGTGGCAGATATCCCCTAGTTTGTCAATTAACTCTTGGCTTTGCTTTTTACCATGCAAGAGTGCTTGATTTTTGCAGAGTTGAATATTTCAGTCTTTTCTGTGTGCCTTCTGGATTTGTTTCATTTCCAAAAGCCTTTTGCCTCTCTGACATGATTTAGAAAAATTTTTTTTAGAGGCTGAGTGTCAGTCTATTGCCCATGGTAGAGTGCAGTGATGTGTGGTGGTGTGATCATAGCTCATAGCTCACTGCAGCCGTGAACTCCTGGGCTCAAGCAGTCCTCTCACCTCATCCTCCCAAGTAGCTGAGACTGCAAGTGTGTAGCTGGTTAACTTTTTTTTTTTTTTTTTTTGTAGAGACAGGCTGATCTTAAACTCCTGGCCTCAAGCAGTCCTCTTGCATTAGCCTCCCAAAGTGTTGGGCTTACAGGCGTGAGCCACCATGCCAAACCCTGAGATGATTTTGTAAATCCTTTATTATATTTATTTTTTTGTGTATAAGACAGAGTCTCTCTCTGTCACCCAGGCTGGAGTGCAGTGTTGCGATCTCAGCTCACTGCAACCTCTGACTCATGGGTTCAAGCGATTCTCCTGCCTTAGCCTCCTGAGTAGCTGAGATTACAGGTGCTTGCCGCCACGCCCAGCTAATTTTTTGTATTTTTATTAAAGATGAGGGTTTGCCATGTTGGCCACGATGGTCTCAAACTCCTGACCTCAGGGTATATGCTCACCTTGGCATTCCAAAGTTCTAGGATTTTAGACTTGAGCCACCTCACCTGGCCATGATTTTTTTAAATACTGAAATCTTTGATCCAGCTGTAATTTTTCTTGTAAAGTGTGAGGTAGGGATAGTTTTTTTTGAAAGCATTCCACAGCTGTCCCAACAACTTGATAATCCCTTGTTTCCCCACAAGTTTGAGAGGCTACTTTAGTGCTTCCTAAATTTGTGTATGTATTTGGCTCTACTTTTGAACTTTCTGTTCTGTTTAATTGATTGGTCTATTCATGCGCTGGTATCCTATACTGTTTTAATCACTGTGGGTTTATAATATGTTTTAACATGTGGTGAGGTTGATTCCTACTCTTTACCCTTCCCACCCTCTTCCTGCTTCCAGAATTTTCCTGACTCTTCCTGCTTATTTATTTTCCCACATGAATTTTCAAATCAACTTGTTTAGCTTCAAAAAAAATTCTATGTACATATTTAATTGGATTGTGTACATTTATAAAGTAACTTAGACATCATTAACCTCTTTATGCTGTCTTCTATCCGGAATTTACTATGCCCTGCCATTTGTCCAAGTCTTCTTTTTGTCCCTCAATAACACACCCAATTTTTCTTCCTATAGCTGCTGTTTATCTCTTATGAAATTTATTCTCAGTGTTTTCTATTTTGTGATGCTCTTGTAAATGGGGTCTTTCATCCTGGTTTCTACCTGGTTACTGCTTATAAATGTTGATTTCTGTTATATTAATTTTGTTTGTTGTTTGGGTTTTTTTTGGAGACAGAGTCTTGCTCTGTTGCCCAGGCTGGGGTGCAGTGGCATGATCTTGGCTCATGGCAAACTCTGCCTCCCAAGTTCAAGCAATTCTCCTGCCTCAGCCTCCTGATTAGCTGGGAGTACAGGTGCATGCCACCATGCCTGGCTAATTTTTTGTATTTTAGTAGAGACGAGGTTTCACCGTATTGCCCAGGCTGGTCTCAAACTCCTGTTCTCAGGCGATCTGCCTGCCTCATCCTCCCAAAGTGCCAGGATTACAGGCATGAGCCACCGTGCCCAGCCAGTCTATTATATTAATTTTGAACCCAATAACTGAAGTCCTTACTGGTTGTGATAGTTTCTCAGCTGAGCTTCTTGGGCTTTCCAACTCAATACTCACATTATTGGCAATGAATGGATAGTTTATTTCTTCCTTTCTGATTTTAATACCTCTTGTTTATTTTTGTTGTCCAGAGCTTTCAGAGCAATGTGAGGAATAATAATAACAGTGAAATGGATACCCTTTTCTCATTTAGGAAAGTATCAATTTATTTCTGTTTTAGTAAGATTTTGTTTGTGTAAGTAAGCTGGATATTGAATTTTATTCTATGCCTCTGCAGTGTCTGTGGAGATAATCAGATGACTTTTCCCTTTTTTTTTTTTTTTGAGACAGAGTTTCGCTCTTGTTACCCAGGCTGGAGTGCAATGGCGCGATCTCGGCTCACTGCAACCTCCGCCTCCTGGGTTCAGGCAATTCTCCTGCCTCAGCCTCCTGAGTAGCTGGGATTACAGGCACGCGCCACCATGCCCAGCTAATTTTTTGCAGTTTTAGTGGAGACGGGGTTTCACCATGTTGACCAGGATGGTCTCGATCTCTTGACCTCGTGATCCACCCGCCTCGGCCTCCCAAAGTGCTGGAATTACAGGCGTGAGCCACCGCGCCCGGCGACTTTTCCCTTTGATCTGCTCATTGCCTCTTCCGGTCACCTTCTCTTCACATCGCCTCTTGACTCCCACCAGGCTAGGAGCTCTTAATTGTAGGGTGCAGGGGTGGAGCCTGAGTCCTCATTGCCTAGTGCCAGGCGATTTTGAAAGAACGAATGAATGAATGGCCTTAGTGGTGAGAGGATTTACCCAATTCCAGGGCCAGGCCCCCAGAGGCCATGTGACTGAGGCTGGCTTTACTCACCTCCTACAGCATTTCACTTCCTCCATGGGCATAGGGGTAAGGGGAGGCTAGTCTGGGCTCCCAGACTGGGCTTGCAGGAGAGACCAGCAGTGGTGTCCTTCAACGCTTGCTAAGCGCTTATCCTGGCCCTCACTGGGAACTGGTGCCTCAGAGAGAATTGGCCCTGCCCTGGGTCTTGCAGAGGGCAGTGGGGAGGAGATACCAGACACAGCACCAATCATGCCACTGGCCAGTCTCACGACAGTGGCTGAGGCCGTGTGTTGGGGTGTGGGGTGGTGCCGATCCCAGAGATCATGGAGGGTTTCCTAGAGAAGAAAATGTGAGCTGGATGCTGGGATAGCACAGGGGAAGGGGTGAGGGGGTTCAGGCAGGGAGAAGAACCTGTGTATTCAGAGATCTGGCAGTACCTGGCCTTGTCTAGCACATGGAGCACAGGGGAGGAAGCTCTAGGACAGAACTTGAACCCATGGCTTGAGAGGGCCGTGCAGGCTGCTGGTGAGGGGACCACTCTCGGCAGCCCTGCCTCTGACCTGTGCCTGTTTGTCTATTCCAGCTCTGGACAGAGCCCTGCCAGTAGGGCCTCTGCTGGCAGGAACCATGGCAGAGGCTGGGGATGCTGCACTGTCGGTGGCTGAGTGGCTGCGGGCATTGCACCTGGAGCAGTACACAGGGCTCTTTGAGCAGCATGGCCTGGTGTGGGCCACTGAGTGCCAAGGACTCAGCGACGCCCGCCTGATGGACATGGGCATGCTACTCCCTGGCCACCGCCGCCGCGTCCTGGCTGGCCTGCTCCGTGCCCACACCCCGCCGGCCCCCGCACCCCGCCCCACCCCACGGCCCGTGCCCATGAAGCGCCACATCTTCCGCTCACCACCTGTGCCCGCCACTCCACCTGAGCCGCCGCCTGCCGCTGCTACAGTGGATGAGGGGCTCCCCGCCGCCCCGCCCATCCCGCCCCGGAGGAGCGGCCTTCCGCCCACGTGCTTCGCCGCCCAGTCCGCAGCCCAGTCCGCAGCCCCGTCCACAGCCCCGTCCACAGCCGTCCGGGACCCGGTGCTGCCCCCGCTGCCTGCTAAGCAGCATTTGGCAGAGCTGAGCGTTCCACCCGTGCCGCCCCGCACCGTACCCCCCCGCTTGCTGGTGAGGTGAGTGGATGCCACCCAGGGTGGGAGGCTCACGGGCAGTGGATCCCAGAGGCTTGATGAGGAGTTTGTGGCCTTTGGTGCTGGGATAAGAAGGGCGCTTCAGAAGTGCAGGGAACAGCTGCGCAAAGCTCGGAGGAGAAGAGAGCTGTCTGGGAACTCGGGAGGAGGGGAGAGCTGTCCAGGTACTCAGTGTAGTGCTGGGGCTGTTGGGCGCCTGACGGTGAGGCCTCTAGATTTCTGTCTTGGGTGGCTGGGTGGCCAGTGGTGCCGTCACTGATCCAGAGACCCAGGAACAGAAGTGAGTGTGAGAAGAAGTCGAGTTCAGCTTGGGACCTGGCAGGCGTGAGCTACAGCAGGGCATCAGGAGGCAACACATGGAGGAAACGGAAAGCTGGAGGCTTGGGGTGGGGCTGAGGGGACTGCCCAGGTCCTGGTGCTGTGCTCTTTCACACCCTGCTCGCTTCTCCCACTGCCAAATGTCACCAAATCCCGGGACACGTCTCAGGCCTCATCCTGCATGCCCTCCCTCTCAGAACTGTTTTCCCTCCTGGGCTCCTGGTACCCTGTGTTTTTCTTGAGTTTCCCCTAGCTCCCATGGATGTTCCATGTTAATCTCCTTCACAGGTGCCCTCCCTTCCTGCCATCTACTAGGGTGCCCGGCTGTCAGGGAGCATCCCCAGACAGGGTAGATATGTGTTCAGGGTGAGGGGGATTTGGTGGAGCACTTGGGTGAAGTCAGGCTAATCTTGGAAGCCTTCTTAGAGGAGGAAGGGGTGTGTGGAGAGCGGTCTCCTGGTCCCCGTTGTTTGTTGTGGGGCACTCTGCTGGGCTCTGTGCTTCCATGGTCTCATTGATGCCTGCATCAGGACTCCTGGGAGATTCGTGTGCTGGCTTCATGCAGGACAGGAACGAATCTGAGAGACAGCGGGCAGGGGGGCCCTGGCTGCATCGAGGCCAAGTGTATAGGCAAGGGGGCCTTGTAGGGAGGATCTGGGAGATTCTTCCCACCCAGGGAGGAGCATTAAGTCAGGGGGCCTTGAAAGCCGAGCTAGTGCTGTGGTGTTTTGAGTGTTGATTGGTGGAAGCACAAAAAGGGTACATGCTCGTCCAGGGTTTACGCAACTGGTAACAGGTATAGGGTCTCTTCAGGAGCCTGGAGGGAAGCTCAGACGGAAGTTTCCTGGTGCCCTTGCGCCCTCTAGTGACCATTCTTCTGTATGCAGAAGCAATTTCTATTTCAACCCCAACAGCTGGTGGGGGAGAGAAAGAGAGAGGAGATAGCCGGGAGAGAGGATAGAGGAGACAGTCTGTCTGTCTCTGGGGTTGGAAGTGGGTGAACAAAGGGGAGAGACAGGGCCCTGGCCAGGTCCCCTCTCAGGCCCTTCCTGTGACCCCCAGTCGGGCAGTAGAGGCCTGGGTTTCTGCTTAGGAGGCAGGAGGCCTGGATCGGGCCCAGCTAGCTGTGTGACTCTGATGAGGACCTGCTCCTCTGGGCCTGTTTCCCCATTAGGTGCCCTCCGTGGTCCTCCACAGCCTTCTGGCCCCTCCTGGTACTGACACCTGAGTTCAGGAGGCTTGCTGGGTAGGAGGAGAGCCCTGTCCGTGCCCCTGGGCCCCAGGGTACCAACCCCTACTCTCAGAGCCTGTGTGAACGTAGCCACTTAGCCAACATGAGGAGGAGGCCAGGCCCCGTGGTCAGGAGGAGGTTTGGCCCCTTGTAGTTCAAGGACCCAAAATCTGTCCTGTGCTAAGAGAATTGGAAGAAAATTATTTCCTGCAATTTGGAACTATTTTTTTACAGTAGAGTAGGGTAGAGTAAGCTGCCAAGCCTGGCTTTCTGTGTCTGGGGGTCTTTGGCAGTTGGAGTCATGGGCATCTGCAGTCCCCAGCTTTGTACTCACTCAACTCAGAGAGTGTACAAAGTCTTCAAAGCCCTGTGGTAGAAAAACTCACAGCAGATGGAGTCTCATGTGAGCCGGGTCCTGTGGTGATCAGGGTGGGGGCCAACATGGAGCCTGACTGGCCACCCTGCCCCTTCTCAGCCCCTTCCTGTGACCCCTAGGCTCCATGGCATGTGGAGGAACACTGCTCCTGCCCACCCCCTTGTGGGAGTCCCACCACGATGTCACATGACATGAGCTTCCTACCCCTGCTTGCAACTCCTCGTGATGGGGAACTCACTCCCTCAACCTTGGGGCCTTTCACACAGGTCATGTGGTAGCTGAGGCCTGTCATCTCCAGGCTCCCTAGTGGGGTGTGGGGGTGGATGGATGCATGTGCACGTGTGTACTCTCAGGGTCTTGAATCAGTGTGAGGCATGCCTGGGGCCGTCTGTGTGTGCACCCATAGAGATGGGTGCGGGTGGCAGTGCAGGCTGTCAGGGTAGTCGTGTGTCTGTGCATTTATACATTCAGGCAGGCTCTGAGAGTGTGTGAGACTAAGATGTAAAAGCGTGTAGAGATTTGTGCAGTTTCAGCGGTGACACGAAGTGGTGTGTATGTGAGTTTATGGGGACCTTTGTGTTCACATGTACTGCTGTGGTGGGGACCCCGACAGTGTGTGAGTACATGTGTGAGTGTGCGCATGCTGTTTGAGCAGTACATGGCATGTGTGTTATTTGTGCACTGTCAGGCTTGAGCCAGTGTGTGCATATGTGTGTACATATGCTGCCACGAGAGTGAGCCTATTAGGATGTCAGCTCCACTGGGGCCAGGATCCTGGTCGATTTTGTTTGCTGCTGAATTTCAAACATCTAGAATAATGCCGCGTGCCTCCTGGGCCCTCGGGAAGTATATTGTGGGGTGAGTAGATGAATGCCAGTGTGAGCTTGTGTACTGGCAGGTGCTGAGCTTGGGGTGCATGTGAGTAAATACGCATGTGACTCAACACCCAGTGGGCGCCCTCAGCACAGCTGGGCCATAGGGCCCTGAGCTCACTGCCCCAGCTCCCCTTCCCCCATCCTGCTACCCAACCTATGTCATCCCAGATGTTTTAGGAAGGGGGAGGTTTTCAGAGGAGACAGGTGGGGAGAACGGGGCTGGGATAGAATTCTAGGCCACAGACCAAGGTTTAGGCAAATCAGAAAACAAGCAAGGATGGAGTTCCCTCCTCCCTGCCCTAGCATGGCCCAGGACTCTCAGAACCAGCCTCATCATTCTGCCTGGCCTGGGGGGACTCCACACCACCCCCAGAGTCTGTACCCCCTGCCGTTATTATCATCATCATTATTAATAGAGACAGGGTCTCTCTCTGTTGCCCAGGCTGGAGTGCAGTGGTGCCATCATAGCTCATTGTAGCCTCGAACTCCTGGGCTCAAGCGATCCTCCCACCTAAGTCTCCTGAGTAGCTGAGGCTACAAGTGTGCGGTATCACACCTGGCTAATTTTTAAATTTTTTGTAAAGACGAGGTCTCGCTTTGTTGCCCATGCTGGTCTTAAATTCCTGGGCTCAAGCAATTGTCCTGCCTCAACCTCCCCAAGCACTGGGATTATAGGTGTGAGCCATCGCACTTGGCCCCATACCATTAATTTAAACTCGTGCTGGGGAGCTTGCTGAGGAGTCCAGAGATTCTGAGAAACTTGCCCAGAGTCGCCCAGCCCGGCAGAGGGGAAGCTGGTGTCTAGACCCTGCCTCCTGGCTTCAGGTCAGGTTTACTCAGCCCTGAGTGTCACAGACATGAGCCCTGTGAACTGGCTTCCCTGAAGGTGGCAGAGGGGTCATTTCTGATGTGAAGTTCCAAGGTCACGCTGCAGATCCCCTCCCAGCTTGCTCTGGCCTTTGGTGTCCCTCTCTAATGCCTAGATGCTTGGAGGCACCTCAGGAAGAGGGAGTGTATGCCCAGAAGGCAGCTACCCAGCTGGAGACATGCCGCCAGGTTTCCCTCCTGTGCCCTTGACTGCCCTACAGCCCAGCCAATCCCTGGTCTTCCTGGAGGCTGATCACTTGTTGCCAGGGCAGAACTTTTGCCCTTCAAAGAGCCTCTTTCCCAGCCTCTCTGGGCCTCCTTATGCGGGTGGGGTAGGGGAGAGGCCACCGCCAGGGCTTCTCAGTCAGGACTTCCTGGGCGTCCACCCTGTTAGGCCTTGCAAGAGCAGTGGACACTGTTGGTTGTCCCATCCCAGTTTGGGAGGGGGTGCAGCCTGGGGGCGGGGAGGAAGTATCTGCCCCAGGGGATTCTGGGTGACTTTTCTCTTTCTCAGTGTTCAGGAAGTGTGTATGTTGGCCACGGCTACAGGGGGTGGGGGAGGCAGAAAGCAGGAAGCCTCCGGGAGACGAGAGCTAGGTGCAGACATACACACACACACACACACACACACACACACACACACGCTCTCTCTCTCTCTCTCTCTGTCCTCTTCCCTCCTGGACAGATCCACAGTTGTACACAGAAACACACACACACACACACACACACACACACACACACCCCACATACGCGTAGAGAAGTGATTCACAAACACTTAAAGACGTAAATCATAGGTGCAAAGCCATACCTGGATCCAAAAACCGCTAAGAGAACGTAGCCTCAGACCCACCCAGGGGCCAGGGGCCAGGGGCCAGGGACCAGGGGCCAGGCTTGCAGGTACACGACATTCTTGGGCGTACACACCCGTCTGGCCAGAACCGTGGGAGTCCTCAGCCCCAAGACCCGGCAGGCATCTGAGGGTGAGTGAGGGGCCATCGAGGGGCTGCCGTCGCTATTGTTGCTGTTGGCAGGTAGGAGGGAGGCCCTGGGAGGGCTGGAGCCCCTGTCTGTCACCTCTGGCCTGGTGTTCTGTGCTGCTCTCCTCCGCCTTCTCTTTTTTTCTCGTAGGGCTTTATCTTTCACTTTCTCCACTTCTTCTCTTTTTTCCTTGCCTTTTCCTTTTCTCCCTGTCTCTCATCCCTCCCTCTCCCCTGGGCTTTCTAGATCTCCGCCTCCCCATACACCTCTCCTGGGTCTACCAGGAGCCCACAGTGCCTGTTTTCTGGGTCTTTCTCAGATTCTGTCCCACAGAATG